TGATGGCTACTTCCTGTTGGCAGAAGCCAGCTCTTCTTTGGACTACTGCCAGCATTTAAAAGGAAAAACCTTTTCTTGTTTCTTAGACCTTCCCTAGGCTTTGAAATTATTTTAGAAGTCCAGAGCCCCTGAGAGTCCTGGAGGCTTTCTTGTTTTGTAATTTTGAATTTATTTCCTTATATTCTTCCATTTGAGTGGCCTTTTGTATGCAGAACCCTGTCTCCAGCTGTCATGTGACCCTGTAAGAGAAGAGGAAATTATCAGGAAATGTCAAGTTATGAATCAGTTCTGTTTCAACACAAGTTCAGCAGGACCCAAAATGTGGGGGATATTGTCAGAATCATCCATCTCCTGCCTCCTACATTTTTGATTTGCTGACTCCACAGAGGGCACAGGGTAGCAGCTGGTATTCAGAGAGGGACAAGTCTATTATGGTTTGCTCTGGTATCCTCACTGATTTGCTCTGTTAGCACTGACTTTAATGATAACTCTTATGTAAACAGGCAGGGACAGCTAAAGCCCTTAATCTACTAATTAAATAGTGCCAGTCAGATTTTTTCACTTAGGTGAGTCTTTAATATAACAGATGACCTAAGATGAAATAGAGTAAATAGTTTCTTAACTCACTGTCACATGAACAAATCCATTGTTAATGTAGGAATTCCTTCATTTTAGCCAGTAACATTTTAAGAGTGGGTTTTTTTGCTTTTGGTACTCAGAAGCAGTGAAATTAATTTTTTTTGCTTTAGCATAGAGTTCTTCACATTGCAATTAGTATTAGGAGCTGATACATCATACATTTTAAACATGTGCTGCAAATTTATTCTGCAGTGTTTAAATATTGTTCATTTTATATTATTGCTTGAAGTAAGGCTTCATGAACAGCAACTTGTACCCTATATTTACTCCAGAAACACTAATAACCATGTTGAATTAAGTGTCAATATCTAGACTGCATATAAATATGTGAAATATGCAGGGTGTGTTATTTATATTTAATTTCATTGGTGGCTTCTTCAATATTATGAATGAGGAAAGTGCTAAGCATTGACCTAATGACCACATGAAATTAACAGTAGTCTGGGATTAGTGCAACTAACTGCAAGTGAGTAGATGTGATACAGAGCACAGCAGCACAGTGAAAGACATTGCTATGGATGCATTTGAGGGTCTTTCTTGCAGAATGGATACTGAGAATCTTGGAAAATATGGCTCCAAGTTCTTTCCAAATCCAGTCTGTTCCTGCCACCCCTTGCAGAGATTTTAGATTACCAAAAAGCATATAGAAATAAGTTCCTAAGTTTGCTTCTTAGAATTCTTTTTTTCTTCTTTTGGTAACATGATCTGCTGTGCCTGCCTGGTGAGCACTCTGAAGGAAAGCATCAAGCATGGCTGTATTTATTGTCTTGCAACTCTTATTTGAGCTTGTGCTGTGTATTGGGCAATAGTTTGCAAAAAGAAAGGACCAAATTTATCTAATAAGGCTATTTTCAGTACAAGCTACATAATTCAGTTTTACAGACCTGATTCATTATTCTTTTTTCCCTTCAGTGGACAATTACATGTACAGAGAGGTGAAGGATTCCACAATCACCATGTTTCCCCTTCCTACAGATTTAAAAGACTACATGTTGTTTAAATCATTGGAAACCTTAACTATTCAAATATTAACTAATAATTTTGTTCACAAAAAATTGTTATACTCAAAGTTGTTATGGCTAGTCAGTTGTTTATTTTGCTTTGCTTTGATGCTGATTTACTTGGATTAATTGTGTTTCCAAACCTTAAATAGCAAGAGGCAAAGCCACTTTGCACGACATGTTTTTCCTTAGTACAACTATCCACTCACTTTTCTTTTTGTTCTTTAATTAAGCTGACAACCCACAACGGGGGTTGCTACTTTAATTTAGAATAATTGATGATAACGACGAAAGCATCACTTGCACAAATACAGAAAAAAATGTCCATTACCATGGGCTTTCAAAGTGCAATGGTGAGGTTTGCCTGCAGATGCTTAGATGAAGGTGAAGGTGAAGGTGAAGGTGAAGATGAAGGTGAAGTGAAGATGAAGATGAAGATGAAGATTCGAGGCAGTGGGAGATGCTTTAACCCCTGCGCTGCTGCGGGCCCCCCCAGCCCCGCTGCGGCTCCGCAGCCCCGGGCGCGGCGGCTCTCGGGGGACACCTGCTGGTGGCCGTGCCGCGGTGCAGGAGCTGGGGCTCCTCCGGAGCGAGAGCTCCAGCAGCGCCCGGGGGTGTCTGAGCGAAGCTCTAAGCCAGCCCCAAAACTCTCTGCTGTGCAATCCTGTCTCAGAGGAAAAGGGCAGGCGTGCACGTCCTTGAATTTACTGGGAAAAGGACAGCGCTTGTTTCTATTGCTTATTAAGTGGTACACCAATATAATTTTCTTAGGAAATAAGCTCTGCAGAGCATGATGTTAAAATATATAGGAAATGTGGGCAGTAGTCCGAGTTATCAGTTCCTGAAAACGCCTGACTGGGTGTGTGAATGAGACAACCAGGCCTTTTTGTCATTCCTATAGACAGCTGGTCTGCTCTAAGAAAATTGTTTTGAGCTTTTTCTATAATGTTCATCACATTTATCATGTGATTTTGTGTATATATTGTGCATGTATTATGTGGCTACTTCACTAACTTTGTTTTCTCTCAAGAGCAGAGGGAGGAGGGTTCTATAATATCCATTTCTTTGCAAGGGAAATGAGATGTAGGGAGTTCCGTGTCAAAAGCATCCTCTAGTGTTAATTGCCTGCTTCTGAGATGGAATTATAGAATTGTTTATGTTGGAAAAGATCTGTAAGACAATTGAGTCCAACCATTCCTCCAGCACTGCTAAACCACTAAACCATGTCCCCAAGTGCCATATCCACGCATCTTTAAAATCCCCCGGGGGGTGGTGACTCCACCTCTATCCATGGCCTCTTGATCCAACGCTTGACAACTCTTTCCATGAAGAAATGTTCCCTAATGTCCAATCTAAGCCTCCCCTGGTGAAATCTGAGGTTTTTTCCTCTGCTTCTGTCACTTGTAACTTGAAAGAAGAGACTGAGTGCCTAGAGAATGCTTTCTCAGACCATTTGGCATTGCACATAATTTAGTTTTGCTCAAATCACAGCTCTCACTGTCCTCAGCTTTAGTTACAAATGCTTGAGACTTCTCTATTCAGACCCTGGGCCTCAGTTTGTCATTCAGGGGAAAAAAAAAGAAAACATATCTGAAGTATTATGGCATAACTGAATTGTGAACTGTATACTGCCAGCTGGGCAGGATGCCAATTAGAAATATTCGATGCTTTAATGATAGACAGTCCATTCTCTTCCTGTAACTTCCTGCTTGGATTTCTGCCCAAGTCGAGGGAACTTGGTGACCTGAGACCTAGTGCCTCATGTCACTCCTCAGCATTTGACTGAGGCCAAGGCAATTTTGCTGTGTCTGTAGTCCGGGTGGAATAGATCAGATCTTCAGCAACTCTTATTTTAGGCATAGGATGTGTCCACTTGCTGTATAGAGCCCCATTCACATCTTTTTCTGTTGGTAGTTTTCAGACAGTTCAAGCTGTTCCTAGGTTGATTGGGATGTAGGAGACCATATGTTGACTAAGCATCAGCATTTGCCTCATGGGGGAAGGAAAATCACGTAGAGGTCGTTTGCACTAAGGGATTAAAATGCTTCCATTTAGTACACTAGATGCCATGCATTTCTGAAATTGTACTGAAACGTACCTGTAATCAAAAATTTGCACCTGTTGACCACATCTAAATTTGCATAGTGCACCACAGTGATGTCCCTTCCAGCTCCCTTTCTAAACATGAAACAGTTTTGTGGCCTTTGATCCCCTGCACTGTAGTCTTAGGTGGGCATTTTGTGGCTTACTGTAGGAGCCCAGGGTGTACGGTCATGCCATCCCTTCTTGAGCCTTTGCCACTGAAGAAATCCTCCATGATGTGTTAAGCTAACATTGCTCACTGTGTCATGCTAAGGAGGACACTACCTTCTCTTCACCTGTAACAAAGTGTATTTAGGAAAAGAGATGGCCATTTGTAGACTGTGGTATTATTTCTTCTGCCAGTGAGTTAGGGCTGGGCTTTATTTCCAAACATTGTGTTTCATAGCCAACAAGGGATCTTGGATCAGTTTGTCTCAATGCTCCTTGTCACTGGATTATATTTTTAGGCTGTGTAACACCATGTATTAATGAGTTCCATGCCTTAGTTGTACATACTTTCAATGGAAAAATGTGTAATTGGCTGGCATCCAGTTCTTGTGCGAGACTGCAACAAAAATCATTACCACCACATCTTCCCCTCATCATCGATGGAGGTTTTGTAGACTCGCACTTACAGCCAAGCGAAATAGCCCAGGTAACCCAGCCTCCCCTACTCAGATTCAGGAGACCGGCATCAGGGGAACGCTGAGCCCAGACACAAACGAGGAGCCCGCCGGGTGCCGCCTACAAATAGCTGGCACCGGCAGCGCAGCGGTGTCTCTGCGGAGGATGGGTGCCCGTGGTACCCGCGCTGCCAGAGCACTGCTCCGCCCGCCGGGGCACGTCCACCCGGGCTGTGCCACCGCCGGGGATCCGCGCCTAACGCACCGGGCATGGCCGGCGGCCGCGGGCCGCGGTAGCGCCGGGAAGCGGCCGGGCCGAGCCGCTGCGGCCCAGGCGGCTGGCACAGGTCTCCGGGGCTGCCCTTCGCCTCCCGGCCCTGCAGGCCCGGCCGCGTGGAAAGCCGATCCCGGCAGGGCCGTGCCGAGTGCCGCTCGCTCTCAGAGCCTTGCGGGGCCGGGCCGAGCCAGGCCGGACCGCCGGCAGCCACGGCAACCGCTCGGCTCGGCCGGGCCCGGCGGGGCTGCGGGCGGTGTGCGCTCGGCGGGAGGGACCGAGCGGGTCAGCGCGGCGCGGAGGGCGGGGATAACCCCGTGGTGGCCGTCACGTGGAGCAGATGAAAGGGAAGCGGCTTGGCAGGGCGGAGAGGAGCCGGGGCGAGGGAAGGGGAGCGCGGCAGCGAGGAGCGGGGCGCAGCGCGGCGGGAGGGCCGCTGCCATGGGACGCTGACCGGCCCGGGACCCCGGCCCCGGAGCTGGAGCCGCTCGGGAGAGATGCGCGGCGGCGGGGCGCCGCTTCCTCCCGCCGCGCGATGAGGGGCTGCGGGGCCGGCGCGGGGCTGCCCGTGCCGCCGCTGCCGCCGCCTCTGCTGCTGCTCGGGGTGCTGCTGGCCGCGGCGCCGGGCGCGGCGCTGGGCAAGGAGACGGCGTTCGTGGAGGTGGTGCTCTTCGAGTCCAGCCCCAGCGGCGACTACACCACCTACACCACGGGGCTGCAGGGCCGCTTCTCCCGCGCGGGGGCCACGCTGAGCGCCGAAGGCGAGATCGTGCAGGTGAGCGCGGCCGGGGGGCGCCGCCTGCCCCAAGATGGCTCCGCGGGCCCGGCACCTGCGGCACAAAGCGGGGCCGGGCCCGCCGCCCCACGTGCGCCGCGCGGCCGGGCGGAGCCGAGGCCGCCTCACACGCGCGGCGGGCTCCGCTCCGCTCCGCTCGCCCCTCCGCTGGGCGCGGGGCCGGCGGGAGGAGGCGGGGCCGCGCCGGGCTGCCCCTGCCGGTCCCGGAGCTGTGCGGGGCTGCTCCGCTCCGGGGGCGGCCGGGCCGCGGGGGGGCCCGGACAGAAGTTGCCGCGGCAGTCGTGGGGTGCTGAGCCCTCGGGCTGTGCCGGTCGTTGGCCGCTCCGCGCCCGGCGGCGCACGGAGCTGGAGCCGGTGCTGCCGCGCTCGGGGTCCCTCGGAGCCGGGCTCCCAGCGCGTCACGCTTCGTGCAGAGCTGTGCTTGACTTGCTCAGCAGAGAAATGGTTCTTGTCTTTGAACGCAACTACCCTTTACTCTTATTGAAACTCTTGAAGCGCTTATCTAATTCCTTTGTAGTTGCTTGTAATTGCTGGCTTTATTTTTTCCCTCCTTGGCTAAGTAGAGAAAAATTACTTGAATGGTGTTTTAGTAAGTTTGACTGTTAAGCAAGTGCCAATAGCAATCTCTTTAACAGCTGTGGGGTTGGTTTGTTTGTGTTCCATATATGTATGCATACGTACACATACATACACATGTAAATATACATATAAAACTTACAAGAATCTAGCTGGTAGCAAGTAGGTTATAGAAACAAGTGTTAAAGCTCTACAAACACAAATACATTACTATCAAAATAACTTTTTTTTTTTTAAAGTAAAGAATACTGCTTATTGAATGCTTGATATTTCAAAACAGTTTCAGCTGGGATGATTTCTTATAAAAGTTCTCTTGGAAGCAGAAGAGTTATGAGGCCAAATTGCTGATGTAAGGTAATTTTTCAGAGAAAAGAGGGATGGACCCATTAAGTTATAATTATGACATTTAGAAGAGGTGGTGCTAGTAGGGGCTGGAATTGACATGGACATTTTTTTAACCTTTTAGTGCTTCTTCATTTTAAGACTTAATAGTGTCTTTGGGGCCAGCAGACTTCAAAGGTTCCTTTTGTGTCAGGTGTTAGTATTAAGAACAGAACATAGGCCATTTAGTGAGGTCATGCTTTCTTGGTGACTGTAAGTAAAAGCAGAGAAAAAAAATAAACTGTTCTGTTAAGACTCAGATTTGCACAACTTGAAACAAGGGTATTAAATAGGCTTTGGCAGGCCTTATTGTTTGTAACATCACCTGTCTGCTTCCTCTTCATGCCTGAATAGACAGCACCCCAAAGAGGAAAAACTACAGCGAAAGCCACATGATGTGGCAAATCTTTTACAGTCATTTATCACTCAAAAATTGATTTGCTTATTCATCTGGATGCTTGCTAGATAACATATGCCAGTGCCAGGTTTGGGGCTTTTTTTGTTTAATGAGCTGTGTGTGCTGCTCTTTTTTTCAGAGGAGAGAACCTGGCAGATACCGTTCCAGAGCAGCTAGACTGGATGGTGTCAGTTGTATTTTCACTGTTGAGCTTTTAGATTGCATATAACATATCTTGTCAGTGTCCTTCTTCCTCTGTTTCATCCTGAAAGAGAGTTTATCAGAGCCACAATTGATCAAGATTTTCACAGCATTGTCTTGCCTCCTTTTTTTCAGCTGGGCTGTGTTTTTGTAGAACATTTTGAATCTGCTGTTCTGGATCATCGTTTAAAGTTCACTGTGAGGTTTAGAAAAGGCTCATGAAGCTGTTGCCACTCAGAACCTGTTCAGCAGCAGCTAGTTGTACATCAGTCAGTGAAGCAAGCTCTTCTTGGCCCCAGCCCCTTTGTCAGTGCACACAGCTCTTTCAAGAATAAGATGCATTTTTCTTTAAGATGAAATATTAGAACTTCTTGAAAATCAGGCACACATTAAAGAATGGATCAAAGGAATTGTGGTTTTGGGACTACACAAAGGCTTACTTTTGTTTATGTTAATAGCATCAATTACTCATTGGTCTTGAAAGTCTGAACAAAAAAACCCCAACCTTAAGAAACAATGCACTTTCAGCTTTTGATAGGTCATACATCCACTCCTGAACTGGTTATTGGTCAGATTCCTATCCAGTAGTGGTGTGCTATTATATTGTTTCTCAAGTTATTGTGAATGAATCTTATTAGGGTCAAGTGTCTCCCCAGAATAACTCTTCAGAGAGATGAAATGTTCATATGCTTTCTTTCATGTGGCCGCAGTTTGTATTCAGCAAACTCATCCTTATGTTGCTGTGTCAGCTGCTCCTTAAACTGCTCAAAAGTCCAACCATTTTGGTGGTGTCTGGCATACTGGAATATCCTCTGTTTCTTGGGGCAGCATACTGACCATTGATATGGTCAAGAGATTGGAAGTTGCAGATGTTTGGTTAGAGAGTGACTGTGAAAACCAGATTTCGTTGAAACCTCTGAAATGATATATTGCTTTGAAACAAATTATCACTGGAGAACTCCCTCTGGTTGAAACTTCTGGTACCATTCAGGGCAAAAGTTCAGATGTAGTCTTGTCGCAAATTCAGTGTTACATGGCCACAGACTGGCAGTGCTTGGACAGTAAAATCACTGATTTGACTAGCAGTGGCTTTGTTGCTCAGAGTGAGATTGTGTCTTAATCTACTTGCAACTGGAGAGATTCTGTTCCTGTTGCTTGTTCAGCTTGATAGTTGAGGTGTGGAGCATCTAGTGTTGTATTTCTTATAAAGTTATGGTTGTGATTGGACTGCTCAGGTGAGGTGCTTGGCAAAGAGGATCGAATTTAATGCCTGTGATGTGTCAAAAACCTTAAATTATGTGCATTCATCATTGTCAGTTTTCTCTCAGTCTTACTTTTTTTGTACTCCTGCCTTAAAGCTGCTGCTGAATACAGTAATATGTCTGGATTACTGATATATACAATTTTGGAGACAAGCAGCATAGAGGAGAGATTTGAGAATATTAGAAAGAGGATCAAATTTAATGCCTGTGATATGTCAAAAACCTTAAATTATGTGTATTCATTGTCAGTTTTCTCTCAGTCTTACTTTTTTTGTACTCCTGCCTTAAAGCTGCTGCTGAATACAGTAATATGTCTGGATTACTGATATATACAATTTTGGAGACAAGCAGCATAGAGGAGAGATTTGAGAATATTATCAGTGGTTTTCCTTGTGCAACAAAAGTTTGTGTTTTGGTTGGTTTGTTTCTATTTGGAAGCCTCACTCAGGAAATTATGAACTTTATGTAGCCATTGAACTGGAGCAGTGTGTAGATAATGTAACAATCTCCACTTGCATATGTTTTTTGTGCTTAAAAGGTCTGGGGACAACAAGCATAACTCAGTGCTTCAAACTCCAGGAAGAAAACAGATGTGGGGCACTTCCCAGCTTCTTGCATGACACTTCCTAGTAGCAAATTATTGCCCATCTTTCTCTTGTAGAAGGTGGGGAGGCTTCAAACTGGGCTGCAAGACAGTGCCTGTGTCTTCCTTCCTTCCTGGCATCTCCCTCCCACCCCTCACTTCAGTGGCTTTGAATCTTTCCTCTGTTTTTTCAAATGCAGAAGTTACCAAAGGTTGCAAACTGCACTCTGAAACATTGGCAGTTGTTAAGGGTGTTGAAAGGAGTGACTTGAAATAACTGTGCAGATACAGAAGACATCTAGCCATGATGAGAGGAGGCTGAATCAAGGGAATGTTTGTGTCCTTTGAGAGTGGAAGACGAAAATACGTATTTTTGGGTTTTTTTGGTTGTTCTTTCGTGATCATGCAGGTTAAGTTTCTTCTTGCTGAGTGCCTGAAGGCCTTTCAAAATGAGGAAGTGGAATTATTTGTGGCTTTGAGTCACTGTCTTATTGAATGTTTTCTTTGCTAGTTATCCTCTTAGAATATGAAGACGCCTGTGATTGGGTTTGTGTTAGTTTCCATACCTACCTGTAAATCTGTGGCTTGCAGTAATGATCCTGAGGACATCAGGCACAATACATTTATCTGGGCTTCAGGCTGGCTTTGTCATTGTGTCCTCCTTAAAGGAAGCATAATTTGCTTTCAAAATAAGAGATCACTTAGGCAAAGACTTGCATGGTTGTTATACCTGGACAGCCTTTGTAGAGTGTAATGCACAGGCAGCTTGCTCACAGCAGAGGTGTTGTCTTGGGCTTGATCTCAGGACAGATTGGTCCAGTTGTTTCACAGTTTTAGCCCTCCCTCTGTCCTTTTTTTTTTTTTTTTTAAGTTTCAGTCATGCTTTATCATGTTGTGTACTGTGTGGTGGGGGGTAGTTGAAGACAGCCTGTTAATGGGTTTTGTTTAGGTTTTTATCCTCTTGTACTGTTTTGTCTTGACACTGGACACTGTCCTCACACCCTGAGCTCCAGCCCAGTCACATCATTGCTGGCTTATTTTGCAAGGAGTTGCCTGTTCTCATTGGCTTCTACCTGTGATGTTGTAAATAAAGACACTTTTTAAAAATAATTCTTCAGCATTGCAATATCTTAGATGTCCCCTAGAATGGTGGTGAAAAGACATGGGAGGGGACTGATCCAAAGATGAGGTGCCAAATTTAGTGATGAGTTACTGGCTCTGGAGGAAGCTCAGCTGTCTGTGGTCCTTGCACAGAGCTGCATCAAAAACAGAATCCTCCTATCAGAACCTTGTTGCAAGACTAAGGCAGTCCCTTGAAGAAAGGGTGGGAGGCACAGTGTAAGAAAATGCCATAAAAGATATTAAAGTATGGAGAAGTTACAGTAGAATGAACAAAAAACGCTGATGTGACCCATTTAGGGGAAGAAGAACAAAGTAAGTTAAGTAAGTAAATAAAAGCAGAAAGCTCACAGCACTGGCTCAATGCTCAGACCAAGCAGTGCAATTTCCGTACTTCCGAGTAAAGGTGGGGAATCAAGTGGGGAAAGTAATTTGTGGGAGTTCAGGTGACTTTTCTGCA